CTTGCACCAGCTCACCCCTGCCTGTGTCTCACACCGAAGCGTGCGGGTGCTCACGGGGCTGATCCGCACCTTTTCCCCCTGACCGGCCCCATCCTGCTCTGTTCCAGTGGTGGGCAGCACCCTCCGGCTCCTCAACACCTCGGCCAACAGGCGCCTCTTCGACAGGGACGGCGTCCCCGGGGGCTGCGTGCGCTGCGCCGTGGTGGGCAACGGCGGCATCCTCAATGGCTCGCGGCAGGGCACGGCCATCGATGCGCACGACCTGGTCTTCAGGTGAGGATGGGGCCGGGCAGGATGGGGCCGTGGTGCTGGGGAAGGGCCAGCCCTGGGCATGCATCCTGTGCTCTTCCCCCAGGCTCAACGGGGCCGTCATCAAAGGCTTCGAGGAGGATGTTGGCACCAAGATCTCCTTCTATGGCTTCACGGTGAACACCATGAAGAACTCCCTCATCGCCTACGAGGAGTACGGCTTCACCCAGATACCCCAGGGCAAGGTGAGGCCAGAGGGCTTGCTGGGGAGGAGGTGACCCCTAATTGTACCTCAGGGCTCCCCATCTCCAGAGCCCTCAGTCCTTGTCCTGCTGGTTGGGCAGTGCCCCAAGGGCCCCCCAGGTGCCACAGCTGTGTCCCCGCTGCAGGACCTGAAGTACATCTTCATCCCCTCGGATGCCCGTGACTACATCATGCTGAAATCGGCCATCCAGGGCAGCCCGGTCCCAGAGGGCTCGGACAAAGGGGACGAGTGAGTAGCCCCCAAGTTCCCCCCAGCACCTCAGGTGATGCAGTGGAGGGAGCAGGACTTGCCTGTCCTCACCTCATCTGCCCCTGGTGGGATACACCCCAAGTAGCCGCAGGGCTCCCGTGACACGAGCTCTGCCGCTCTCCTCGCCCTGCGCAGGCCACGCAAGTATTTTGGACCGGAGGCATCTGCTGAGAAGTTCAAGCTGCTGCATCCAGATTTCCTGCAGTACCTGACAACCAGGTGAGGGTGGTGGGCTCAGACCGGCTCTATCCTGCCACTGCTCACCCCAGTGCAGACCAGTGGTGCCCAGCATCAAAGCACAATCCCAGTCCCCCTCCAGGCACTGGGACCACCTCTGCCCTGTGTTCTGCAAACAAGGCAGAGGCATCCCTCCCCTGCCATTGCGATCCACTGCAGCACAGCTCACATTCCCTCCTACACCTCGCTGTGCCTTGCCCCCCATTTCATACAATCCCAGACTGGTTTGGGTTGAAGGGACCTTAAAGCTCCTCCAGCCCCAACCCCTGCCACAGGCAGGGACCCCTTCCACTAGAGCAGCTTGCTCCAAGCCCCTGTGTCCAACCTGGCCTTGAGCACTGCCAGGGATGGGGCAGCCACAGCTTCTCTGGGCACCCTGTGCCAGCGCCTCAGCGCCCTCTCAGGGAAGAGCTTCTGCCTAAGAGCTCAGCTCAGCCTCCCCTCTGGCAGGTTAAAGCCATTCCCCTTGGCCTGTCCCTACATCCCTTGTCCCAAGCCCCTCTCCAGGTTTCCTGCAGCCCCTTCAGGCACTGGAGCTGCTCTCAGGTCTCCCCTTCAGGAGCCTTCTCTTCTCCAGGCTGCCCCAGCCCAGCTCTCTCAGCCTGGCTCCAGAGCAGAGCTGCTCCAGCCCTCGCAGCAGCTCCCAGAATGAACTAATTTTTGACTTTAACAAGAGCAGAGGTGGGGCCCACAGGGATTGTCCTTTCCTACCTTGGATGAAATCAGGCACCTGCGTTGAGGCGATGTCAAACAGCAGAGAGGTGCCTGCAGCAAATGAGCCGAACCCTAGTAGCAGTCATCAGTGAATCCACACGAGCCCTTGCAGCTCATTCAGTGCTCCTGCCTCACTGGGCACATGCTGGAGGCTGGCAGGGGGCTGCTGGCTCTCGTGGCTTCAGCACCCCCCTGATGTGCTGTGTGCTCCGGCAGGTTCCTGCGGTCGGAGCTGCTGGACACGCGCTATGGGTCGCTCTACATGCCCAGCACCGGTGCCCTCATGCTCCTCACCGCGCTCCACACCTGCGACCAGGTACAAGGGGCACAGGGATCCCCCCTGTAGTTGTGGGGGAGCTTTGAGGAGCTGCTGCAAGCTCATGGTGGGGACCGGCCTGTCCACCCCACGTCCGTGTCCAAGGGGGCCCTGACGCTGTTCTTTCTGTCCCACCTCCCTCCCCGCAGGTCAGTGCCTATGGGTTCATCACCACCAACTACGAGCAGTTCTCAGACCACTACTACGAGGTGGAGAAGAAACCCTTGGTGTTTTATGCCAACCATGACATGATGCTGGAGGCAGCTCTCTGGAGGAGCCTGCACCGAGCAGGGATCATGACGCTGTACCAGCGGTGAGGCTGGGCAGCTGCCCACAGGGGCAAGTTCAAGGACTCCTGTGGCTCTTTTCCTCTTCCCTGAAGGCCACCTTCTCCCTCCGGAGGGCTCTGCCCAGCCAGCCCAGGGAGCAGCCCCGCTGCACCGCAGCCGGCAGTGGTACGATGGTGAGGAGCAAGCTGAAGCTGGTAGAGGATCCTCCGGGATCTCCAACAACGTTTCATGGCTCAGTGTGATTGTATGTGGCCTTTGGGGCACCAAGAAACACCGTGGCACGTGGTTGTGACCTTCCAGCCCCATGAACAAGGATGTGGGGCAGCACTGGCCCCTGTGAGGTTCAGGGTGATGGTGGAAGAAGATGCTGGAGATGTGTACCTATGGCTGGAAAACACCCTTCACCATCATGCTCCAGCTCAAATGCTCATCACCACAGTGAGACCACAACAGGCGTAATGGATCCTTGGAGTGGTGACTGGATCATCTCAGCAACTTGAACATGGTGTGTTTGGAGAGCATCTCCCTCCAGGCTGCAGGAAGCCCCATCTCCAGCCAGCTCTGGATTGAGGTGCTGCTGTCCAGAAGGATCTGTTTGCCTCCATGACCAGCAGGAAAGACTTGGCTTGGCTGCCCTCTCCTGCAACAGACACACAGCATGCCCTGTCATTTTGCCCTTCTCCAGCTCGTGGTGTTTTCAAGCAAGGCTTCAAAGCCATCAGCTGTGAGTAGGGTTACTGCAGCTCAGCTGGGACATCACAAACACAGCTGGACTTTGAGCATCCTGGAACTGAGAGTGGGCCTGCAGCCCACGTGTGCAGGGGAGTGGGTTTGGTGGGGATTCCTTCCATGGGGACCATGCGGTGCCCTCCAAGGGAGGAGGCAGCCCCAAGCCAGTTGGGTGATGGACCCTGAGTGATGGTTACTCCTCCCCAAAAGCCCAAGGGATGATGGTTTGGAACCCATCTGCCATCCCATGTAAGGCAGGGCTAAGGAAGACCCTCTGGGGAGGCTGCTGCAGCCAGTGTTGATGGGGCACTGCAGAGGGAGTGGTGTGACCAGATTTTCCCTCTCTGTAATGACATAAATGCTGACTGTTCTTTTATGCCTGTTTCTGTTGTTTCTACGAGGGGGTGAGGCCTCTGCCTCCCACAGCAGAAGGGCTGCAGCATGCAGCAGTGAGCCTTTGGCTGGGGAATAGCCCCAGTCACAGCAATGGGGCCACTCCCCCTCCAGGGTTAATCCCTGGAGCCCTACGTGGATGGCTGTGCTGGATCTATGGGAGCAGCTTCCGATCACAGCCTTTTTCCACTTGGGATGCTCCGTGCTGTGCATCAGCTGAAGAGAACAATTCACGGCAGAGATGGCAAGAGATAGGCAGGCTGTGAGCCAGGGAACCTCAAAACCCCCTCGAGCTCACAGCAGGCTGATTTCAGCCAGTTCAAAGGAGCAGTACAGAAGGTTGGTTTCCAATTCAGATGTAATCTCAAGCTTGGAACCTATCTTGTGTTCCCAGATCTCAAATTAACCTTTGTTTGCATGGGAGCCACCTCTCAACAGCACCAAGGCAGCCTGTCAGGCCTGTTTTTTATTCACAAGCACTCAGCAAAACCTCTTGCATGACAAGAACAAACCTGATCCTCACATCACCTGACCAGGACAGCACCAAAGCCTCCTCAAACCAGCTCTGGCAAACCTCAGCAAAGCCCAGGGAGGTGACTTGGACCATGGCAGTGCCTTGACACACAGGGCAAAAAGAGGTCTTACAAATGAGCAGTCCCAGTGCAGGTTCCTGCCAGGAATCCCATCCAGCTCATGGGAAGAGCTCTTTGTGCACATCAGGAACTGCAATTCCTCTTTCCTTTCCAAAAGGGGTTTCCAAGCTCTGTGTACCCTGCCCCAGAGTTAAATACACTCCATTTGACCAGACAAGGAACCCAATGGCTCTACTATTTATGAAGACAGGCTGAGAAAGCTGGGGCTGTTCAGCCTGGAGAAGAGAAGGCTGCGTAGACACCTCAGAGCAGCTTCCAGTGTCTGAAGAGGGCCGATAGGGATGCTGGGGATGGACTATCATTAGGGACTGTAGTGATAGGACAAGGGGTAACGGGTTCAAAAACAGGGGAAGTTTAGATTGGACATAAGGAAGAAGTTCTTTACTGTGAAGGTGGTGAGGCACTGAAATGGGTTGCCCAGGGAAGCTGTGAATGCTCCATCCCTGGTGGTGTTCAAGGTCAGGTTGGACAGAGCCTTGGGTGACATGGTTTAGTGTGAGGTGTCCCTGCCCATGGCAGGGGGGCTGGAACTGGTTGATCTTAAGGTCCTTTCCAACCCTAACTGTTCTATGATTCTGCTACTGCCTCTCTCCTCTTCTTCCTCATCTTCAAGCTTCCAAGCAGAATACAAGAGCCATTTCTGTCATCAGACCTGGCTTAGCTGCAAGTCATTTTGTCACACTGCTTTTCCTATGTTTCCTAGCAGTTCCTGCTATCATGAAGCGCTTTTCCAACGTCTGCTGGCACTGAAGTCTTGAGGTATTGGGGAAGAGCAGGTTTTGCTGTAAGAGTAAGCTCACAACTGCTTGCATTTCTGAAAGGGTTTTAACCCCAAATCCTTTCTCCCTGCTCCAAACCCTTTCTGCTTAAGTAGATAACCTTGACAAAAATAACCAAACTTCAACTCTGATTTTCCACAACCTGTTTTATTCCAGAACAGCAAACAGCAGGGAAGCACTTCTTCCTCCTGCCAGCTGCAGATCGGGTCCTAGGTGAGAAAAGACAGTGTCAGAGCAGAGCAACTGTCAGCTGAAGAGCTCCTCACCTGCAGTAATCAACAGTTCAGCATTCAGGAGACAAAAACTGCTCCCCCCATAGCCAATGGCACTAGCACCCAAATCCTCTTTGGCTTTACTGGGAACTTACCCACGATGGGGCTGCAGTGAGGAGAAGCCTGCAGTTACACACTGGTGGCCATTTCACCCTGTTTCCAACGGTCTATCAATGGCCATTTGTGAAATCTGCTCCAGAACCATCTTCCTTCTGCTGCTTCTAGAGTTGGGAGACACCACAAAGCAATGCTGTAACTGCTTTCCTAGAAATACTTTGCTCTGAAACCATTCTTTTTCTCAAAGTACTTTTTCCCCCCGTCCTCCTCGGAAGCCAAAAGCCCCACATGCTCTTCCCAGTGACTGGTCCCACCTGAACACAGCAGTACTGACAGAGCAATCACTGACTGATGGTTTGTAGCACCATTCCCTCACGTCCTGCACACCAACCTTGGTTGTTAAGGAAGTCCGCTGTCACGTCTGTTGGCTCAGCCTGTCAGGAAGTGTTACTGATCTTCTGCAAACAAATACAAACTTGTTAAATAAAGCATGAAATTATTTAGCAGAATGGAGCTGTCAGCTACCTGGAGACAAAGTGCTGCTACAGCCTGGGTGTTCCATGACTGTACATTAGGTGAGAGAAAGCCACATTTCTTACCTGCCCTTCAACCTGCTGCTGTGCCTCCCTGGTTGAAGCAGCTTAAAAGCTCTTCACAGATCTAATCTGTGCTGTGGCAACAGCAGTCAGTTACTTCCTGTCCTGAGCCTTGCTGTACTAGAGAGCCTGTGAGTCTGGGACAGAACTTGTGCATCACCAGGGCATGAAGGGGAGAGATGCTTCTGCTCTACTGGTACCACTCCTGCTGCTGGGAATCTTTGCTAGACGTGTTGAGGGGACATAAGCCTCAGTGGACAGTTTTCTCCCTCACAGCCGAGACGTCGGACAGGGATAACGACACATCACAGGCTTGGTTTCTCTCCTGCCCTTGGCTGTATGAACTCCTTAAGTTCTATACAATTCCATACAAAGACATCCAGATGCTGCCCCAGTGTTTTTCCTGATGACTAGTACTTTTCCTGGTAAGCATTCAAAGACAGTCTGCTCAGCAATGACTCGTGCTGCCCACACACACATCAAAACCCAGCAGCACGCAATACCAAAGCTTTCTCTTACCAGTCTGAAGCCCAACTTGCTCTCTTGCCAAAGCTGTCTCTGGGCAGCAGTACAGCCCCAGGCCTCTGCAGGATGCTTTCCTCCTAAATACAAGTTGTATTGAGCACTGTTAGCAACAGCATTTCACACTGGGTCACAGCAAGAATTAAAGACAGGAAGGTTTCCATTCAGAGGCAAATTTTGTCTCTCAAACTCAGCACAGCAGAAACCTGTCCCTCAGAGACAAAGGAACACATTTGCCAGTGCATTGTGTCACTCAGACAAGAAACTCTGGGACATGGATGCTATGTAAATCCTTCTTATTAATAAAACCCACACTAAGCCTGTGACTTCAATGGTTTAGATCCTTTTTAGCCACCTCAAGCAGACATCCTCCTCACCATCATAAACACCTTAATCCAATTCCCTCCTTAAACACAAGAATAATCCCCTCCTTTTGGATGTAAAGTGTCTATGAGTCTACTTGATCAATACATCCAAGCAGACACAACCCTGCTGGGGAAGGATTCTTCAGGGTGTGCCCTTGCTAGGACGACCCTTTGGTGTATGAGAACTGCACGTCCCCATGCCCAGCAACCTGATACGGGTTTGAAACTGTCTCAGTGCACCTTCGGGTAGGCAAACAGAACAATTATTCTTTCACTGGGTCTACCGCTGCACAAATACAGTTATGAGATGAGCTGTGTCAGGTGTCTCCATAATGGGCTGTCATCCAATCCCTCCTAATCCTTTCTACTCCTGCTCATCTTTTGACCACGCTGACAAGCAGCTGCTCTACTGGGCACCAGCACCAGTCAAATTCCCATTCATTCGGGGCTGCCTGTCAAGTTGTGCTCCATGGCAGCAGAGAGCTGCACAGTCAGGTGCCAGCTGCAACAAAGCTACAGCCTTCATTGGCTTAATTACATTAATCAAGCATCGGGCTTTTATCCCTCCTACCAGTAGCCCCAAGGACACAAGGGCTATCATCTGACACAGCACAGTGTTGTTTCCACAGCCCAGTGAGAGGCAAAACCCACACTACAAGATGAGACTGCTGTTTCTTACCATGGTGCAGGTTTAGTGCTGGTCCAGTGAAGGAATCAGCTTCCTAAGCAGGTGAGTGTTTTCACCCTGGCTTTGCACCCTGCCACACGCTGAAAGAGGAAGGAGCCAGAGTCAGCTCATACAACACACCATCCCTTTACCTCTGTGTATTTAGTGCTGAGCCTCAGAGCTAACCTTCCACAGAGGAAAGATCAATTTCAGACAGGGATAACTTGTATCATCACTAGCTCAGCTTCCAGGGCAGCTAAAACCTGGCCCACACAGGTCCACCTCAAGCCTGTTCTTGGCTCTGCGTCTGCCTCCCTCCGGACCAAGCGCAATGGGAACGATGGCCCTGCTCGCTCAAGCTCGCCGCTTGCAGGGTGCTTAAAGGCAAGCCCTGACGCTGTACCGATGGCAAGGCGCGGGCAGAGTTATACCGGTGCTCTATTAAACACCCTCCCACGGGGCAGAACCGGGATGAGCGTGGTGGGGCAGCGCCCGGGCCAGGAGCATCCCCGCACGGAGCGGGCCGGAGCCAGGCCCTGCCGCCCTCACCCACCACAGCGGGGGGAGGCCGCCCCATTCCGTCCCCACAGGCAGCTCTCAAGGCGCCGCCGCCCCGCAATCGCCATTACCGGCAGCGCGCAGGAGCGCCCCGCTCGCCCCCCCGCTGTCCCCGCGCCGCCCGGGGCCGCCGTGCCCGCGGATGGCTGCCGATGGCGGCCCGCGGTACTCACCGCCCGCCGCACCGCCGCCATGCCGCCCGGAAGAGGGAGCCGGCAGGGAAGGGGCCGGCTGCGCGGGCAGCAGATCTCGCGAGAGGAGCGGGGGCTCACGGGAACGGCGGTGCCGAGCCTCAGCGCGGTCGGTGATGGCGGGCGGTGGGGAGGCACGGCACGGCGCGGTGCTGCGGTACGGGGTGGTTGGATGTGTTTAGAGCAGGCACTGGGGAGGGGTTCAACCGTGTGAGGGTGCTGAGGCGCTGGCACAGGGTGCCCAGAGAAGCTGTGGCTGCCCCATCCCTGGCAGTGCTCAAGGCCAGGTTGGACACAGGGGCTTGGAGCAAGCTGCTCTAGTGGAAGGTGTTGGAACTGGAGGAGCTTTAAGGCCCATTCCAGCCCGAACCAGGCTGGGGTCCTGCACCCTCAGGCATTTGTATTTGTTCATTCTTGTGCTTTGTTCAGTAGGGAGGCACACACGGAATCACAGGATCAGTGAGCTTGGAAAAGCCCTTTAAGCTCATCCAGTCCAACCCTTACCCCAGCCCTGCCAAGGCCACCCCTAACCCATGGCACTGAGGCCTCTTCTCCACGCTGTGTGAGCACTTGCAGGGACGGTGACTGCAGCCCTGCCCTGTTCCAATGCCTGAGCACCCTCTGGGGCAGGAATTGTTCCTCAGCTCCATCCAAACCTGCCCTGGTGCAGCTTGAGGCCGTTTCCTCTTGCCCCATCCCTTGTTCCTTGGGAGCAGAGCCCAGCCCCTCCTGGCTCCATCCTCCTGTCAGGCACTTGTAGGGAGCCATCAGGTCCCCCCTGAGCCTTCTCTTTTCCAGGCCCCCCCAGGTCCCTCAGCTGTTCCCTGTGCTCCAGGGTTGCACTTGGCTTTGAAAGGCTGAACAAGCATTAGCTTGTGTAGGAAGGGGCACACACAGGTGAATTAGCAGGAGACTGGGGTTAGGCAGAGGTTAGTTAGTACATATGTGTGTGTACTTTGTGACTCCTCCAGTCTGTGCAACGCTTATGTTTCGATGTTAAAACCTGCCATGACATCTATAGGATCCTGTTCAGCTTATGCCAAAGTGTAAGTGTAACCAAAGGGAGGAAAAATAAGAATCACTAATGTGCACTTTCTTGCTTCAAAGCTTTATCCGTCCTTGTGGTGAAAGGCTGCAGTGACTGGAAAGGGAAAGCAGACAAGTCTGAGTACAGGTAAAACGCCATATCTAACTGGTGTCACCCCTGAAATGTCTGAGACAGGGGGGGTTCCCTGTCCTGGGTGTCAATCCAAGATATGCTCATGGAAAGCTGCCCTGTTCCCCACAGCGACAGCAAGAGTAAGCTTCATTGGTGTTGCATGGCATGGCCACCTCCTGTTGTCTGACCTGGCTCTGGGATTGCCAAGTCTATGAACACAGCACCTGTGTTATCCGAGTCCCGTGAGCTCCGTGTCTTTGCTCCTGGATCCCTCCGATGGCAGGGAGGTGGCTCCGTGCTGCCCACCCCGGCTGGCCCTGTGCTCCAGGAGGCCCTTTTCCAGGCAAGGCAGTCAAGTTCCCAGGGACAGGCAGCATGACTTCGTGGGTATTTTTAGTGCCTGGATCCTCCTGGCCTTGTTCCTGTTTTAGAACATGAGTTTTCTTTCCAGACCATAGATTTAACCTGACCCGTGAGTCCTTTGCCCTCCAGAATGCCCCATGTTGTCTCTTAAAGTCTCAAGTCAGCAGACTGCAAAAGGCATTTTGTTTAATTCTGTTTTCTTGCAGTGGTGCAAGGAGTCTATAAAGAGATGCCAACGTGCTGTTAAAAACAAGCTGCTTCCAACAGAAGTGGCTGCTAGGAGGCCTTCTCCAGCCCTCTGTGTCCTCTGCTAGCTGCAGAAAGCCTAGCAGGAACCTGGAGGAAGCAGCCTGCAGTGAGTCCCATCCCCTGGGGTGGGAACATGAGAGTTTCAGCACCTCCCTGTCCCGCAGGAGCCTGTTGCACAAGTGTTTGGCCTGGTAGGAGAGCAGATGATGATACAGAATGGCAGCAGTTAACAGAGTCTTCATTGCAGCAGCCTTTGCTTTGTGGAGATGTGGCTGGCAATTTGCCTGACTACTTTTAGCTTTCTGAATAAGCAACTACACCAGACACCACAACTAGAATTAGTCCTTTAATTCCCTGAGGGATAGAAGGTTTATTTGGTTGGGTTTGGTTTTAATACAACACTTGTGCAGAGTTCAGATCCTGGAAAGAGGGAAGATGGAGACTTGGATGTGCTGAGGGATTTGCCACCATCTTGGGGTTTGGGTGGAAGCTCTCAGACTAACTGCTTGTGCCTACAAATGGATGAGCAATGCCAGGTACCAAGCTCAACAGGTAGATACTCAGGAGAACAGCATGAGCAAGTGCCCAGTCATTATGCCTGGTTTTGGTGCATAGATAACATGTCCAAACTATTTCGGAGGCAGAGCAAAAGCTTTGGATGAAGAGCCATGGTCAGCACCTCGCCCATGCCCATTCTCCTAAACCTCTGCAGCTTTGCCTGTGTGGGACTTAACTCAGTTTTCTCAGCTCTTCCCTTTAGAGGGCGACCATGTCACACACATCTTGGGCGTGCAACCTTCACCCGGGAGCTGCAGTACAAGGCAAAGCCTCCCAGAGGTCAGCAGAACATGGTGGCTCTTCTCAAGAGCCTCTGAGCCTTCCTAGGAGAGCGAAGTAAGTGGTGGTCTGCTCTGAACTTGTGGTTGAACATACTGTTCTTCCTCAGGCGGTTGCAATGCTGCTCCCAAAGGCAATCCTGATAGACTTCTTGTGGCCAGTCTCCATCAGTTACGGCATTTTCTTGCTCCAGTCTGAAAGGTTGAGCAAGAAGGAAAGTTATTAAAAGGGCAGGGAGATCTTCTACATGTGGATGTTTTGGGGCTGCTCATTTTCCCAGCAGAGGATCTGGAGGGGATTGTGTCCTCCAGCAAATCGTATGCTACCTTAAGTCCCCATATTCTGCTTTCCCAGGGTGCTTCAGTATCTGTTGTGCAAAGCCACAGTTACCCTCTGGTTATCCTTGCAGTAGGTAACAGGAGAATGGGTAGAATATGTGCCAGAGAAGGGGAAGGCAGAAAGGCAAACAGAAATCAACAGCAGAATGTCTCCAGCATCAGCTGGGCTTTGATCCCACGCTTAAATCAAAGGACAAGGCCTCATCCCAGTTTCCCACCCATTTCCCCTCTTGGCTGCCTGTAAGTCTCTCCAGGGAGATGCTGTCCATGCTTACTGACAGCAAGTTGATTTCCTCTTGCTTTCCTCCTCTGCCTATCCTGGTCCCACTGCAGATAGGGTTCCACAAAGCCTGGGGAAACAAAGCATCTGCTCACTCAGAGATGCCCTGCTGTGGTTCTCATCTTCGACATATGGCTGGCGGAGGCAACCAGGGTATCTGAACACATTAAGAAGCTAGTCCCCCACGGCTAGCTGTGTCTGGCTGGCATCAGCCCCCTGTGTGGCTTGATCCTATGAAGCACAAGGAGATGCTGAGGTGCAGGGGGTAGCTAGATTGATGCTTGCCTCATGCTGTGTGCACAGCAGTGCACAAAGACCAGTCCCTTGGTGGGGATTGCTGGGATTTCAGGTGCCACACTTCCAAGAGAAAAATGTGTAGGGTTTCAAATAAACCTGCTGTGAGGTCCCAGATCCTGGTGTCTGCTGCTCAAGGCAGGCCCAAGAAATACCAGAAGGGCTCTTTGGAGCTCAGGAGCATACAAGCAACATCTTTGCACACAGGACAAGACATACTGCAAACAAAATGTCGTCTCCCAGCAGCAAAGCCCTTAAGACTCCATTGAACGTTAAATACATGCTTAAACCCATTCCTCCTCAGCTTGTCCTGTGTGCTTACATGGAACTTTAGCAGGCTCAGAAATGCTCTGCTCTAAGTAGGGCCTATCTAAAGGCTGAACCATGTATACTGAATAACAAGAGCTTTATCTTTACATAAGATCTGTGGCCTTTTCTGGGAGGGTGATGGTATCTGCAGGCAGGGCTATGATGTAGATTCCTGCAGGTGCAGAACATAAAAGGTTCTTCTTTCTCCTCCTGATGGTGCTGAGCAGCCACTCAGCTGTTCCTCTCACTTCCCCTTTTCCTCAAATGAAATTTGGGCACAGTGCAACAAAACCAGTCTTAAGGTCCTGTCTTCAAGTGCAACAGGGAATGGAGCTTGAGGAGATCATGTCACAGGAATGGAGACAAGCTGATTGACTGATTCACTATGAATTTGGTGAGGCACTGGCACAGGGTGCCCAGAGAAGCTGTGGCTGCCCCATCCCTGGCAGTGTTCAAGGGCAGGTTGGACACAGGGGCTTGGAGCAAGCTGCTCTAGTGGAAGGTGTCCCTGCCCGTGGCAGGGGTTGGAGCTGGAGGAGCTTTAAGGTCCCTCCCAACCCATTCTATGATGACTGACTAGATCAGTTCAGGTCAGATGTCCCAGCTAGTCAAAGTGAACATCCTGTCAGAGCTAGCCAGACTGCATTCACAGCTTCATTCCTTGCAGGAGCTGATCAGAACAGAGCACACAACAAACTGTTCCCATTGCAGTGCCCGCATCGCTAAATCCTGGGGCCAGACGTATGCATGTGTTGAGTAATAGCAATAGGAATCCAGCTTCTTCATGGATGACTATGTTTAATTAAAGTATATATCCTCAGAGCATACCTAGAGTTGGAAGATGTGTACAGCTACATAAATCCACTCAAAGCTGGTAGGAAAAAATGCTGTAAAGCTAGTGAAACGAGGAAGATTTCCATCACAGAAAGGCCAAAGCTAGATAAGCAGTTACCAGGAATGGAGAGTTGACCTTGCTCTGGGTAGTAAGATGGATCCTCTCTATTTTCTGTGTCAGCCTGAGAGATTAGAGGGTAAAGCAGAAGGGGTTGGTATGAAAGTATCTAGGCAATATTAATGAGGAACTTCTCAGGTCCTCTTCTATCACAAACAGTAGTTCTGTTTGCTTGGATTACTTGGCCAACCAGCCGTTGATTCAGTCAACCCAGCCTGCACTGTCATAGAAGCAGTGTTTCAT